AGCCACATTGTTATTTCACCTTTGACCCCTGACTTGTACCCTCCGTGTCCCCTGACCTTTACCCTGTAAGGACTTCTCTGTTGACACCCACCCCTTGGCGCTCATATGACCGTATGCAGTTGCGAGTGCCATAAAACCTCTACTAAAACAAAAAAAAAACCCAACTGACCTGTACTCTCTGTGACCCCTGACCGTTACCCTCCTCTGTGTCCCCACACACACACACAGCTGGTCATCTCAGCCCCGGTCCTGGTCATCAAGCTAGAGGGAGGCGTCGGTCACCGCACGGTGCCACTTCTCATAGTTGAGGCTGCCTTCTCCGGCCAAGTTCACAACTGGAGCTCGCAGGTAAGATAAGATAGGATAAAATAAGATAGGATAAGATAAGATAGGATAAGATTGGATAACATAAAATAAGATTGGATAGGATAAGATAAGATTGGATAACATAAGGTAAGATAAGATTGGATAACATAAGATCAGATAGGATAGGATAAGATAAGATTGGATAAGATAAGGTAATATAAGATAAGATTGGATCAGATAAGATTGGATAAGATAAGGTAAGATAAGATAGGATAAGGTAAGATAGGATAAGATAATCTTAGGATAAGATAGGATAAGGTAAGATAAGATAGGGTAAGGTAAGATAAGATAGGATAAGGTAAGATAAGATAAGATAGGGTAAGGTAAGATAAGATAAGATAGGATAAGATAAGATAAGATAGGGTAAGGTAAGATAAGATAAGATAGGATAAGGTAAGATAGGATAAAGTAAGATAAGATAAGATAAGACAGGATAAGGTAAGATAAGATAGGATAGGATAAGGTAAAGTTAGATAAGATAAGATAAGATTATCTTAGGATAAGGTAAGATAAGATAGGATAAGGTAAGATAAGATAGGATAAGGTAAGATAAGATAGGATAAGGTAAGGTAAGATAGGACAGGATAAGAAAAGATAATACTTTATTATCCCAGAGGGTGGTAGGTGGCGGAGGACTGCACCCATGTTAGATTAACAAATGCAATATGCAGTGATGAAATAGTAATTATAATAATGATAATAATAATAGATAATGATAATAATAATGATACTTAAAGTAATGATAACAGTAATAATTTTAGTTATCGATATAGTAATGATGATAGTAGTAATATTAA